GCCGGCCTTATGATTACTCATTTTTAAATTCGTTTATTTCTCTAACTACATGTCTTGTGGGAGTGTAGAACTTGCTTTGTACAGAGCCTAGCATCATCCACAATTTGTTGCTTTATAAATACCTGGGGGAGTGATGAGAGAGTGCGTGGCAGCAGGGGAGAGAACAGTTCCCCAGAGACTTCTTGCCCAGAGGTCATCAAGCAGAGCCTCCTGCTGTGCCCCTCTATGATTATGATGAGTGGCTGTGTGCCTGGGCTGGCTGAGTATGGGCCCAAGGTAGTTCCAGGCCTCAGTTCTACCCTCAGTCTGTGTAGGTGGCTCTTAGGTGTGTGTGGTTTTTTTCTTATAAACACACTGTAGTGAACATTCTTCCATCTGCCTCCTTGCTCTCATGGCCAGTGGAATTGTTACCCATGTATGGACTATTGTCCACTTGCCCAGAGAACAGAGCTGGAGGACCCGGGAGGCTCGGCCTCTAGTCTTGCTTCTTGAAAGGGACCTGGTAGTGAGTGAGAAATATTCAAAGTGGAAGAGTGAATGTGAGCACTGTGCTGCTGAGGGGCTGGTTACCCCTGACAGCATAACTATCAATACAACTAATTCAGGGCCTATCGATGCAGCTTATTTGAATTTGGAAAGGTCCCAGTGTTCCCAACTCCCCATACCTTTTGATACCTAGAGGTAGAGATCAAGATCTCCTCTGTCACCCTTCCCCGCCTACACCTTGGGGAATGGACCCCCCTGAGAAGAAATATAGTGTTTCCCAGTATCCTGGACTACTGAAATGAATTTTTACCACTGATAATGTCTTCTGCGAGATTCTCCAGTTCTGTCCCAAGAGACATCTGGAGCTGTGGTCATAGAACATAATCATCTGCCACTCGGGGGGTATGGCTAGATGCCCCTTGTAAGACTACAGCAGGTGGTAATGACTATTTTTGTGACACCCGTTGGGCTAATCAGGGTCCCGATNTTGATGTTTTTTAATTCATTGAAGTTACTACCCTTATTGGGCAACTGTGGGAAAATGACTGAACTGTATGGGGAAACTAAAAGAAGATAGAATTATTTTTAACAAGATTTGTTTGTATAGAATTCTTAGTCTCAACTTGTAGTCCTTCATGATAAGAATTTTACTTTTCTCTGGTATAGAGAGGACATCTCTCATGTGGGAATTTCATTTGCTTTTGAGGAAAAGAAAGATCAGAGTGTTTTTCTTGTATTTGATGTTTTCAGGTGCCTTTAACTCAAAAGAGTCGATATGCCAAAGCTGCTTATTTTGGAATGCCACGTTCTGAACCCTTTCACTGGTATGTCAAGATGTTTTGAACTCATCTTACACATTTCCTGCCCCCAGACTTGGAATCAGCTATTTCTCCAAGAAACCTTGGTTTCTTTTAGTGGGAAATGGTATTTCAAAACCACAGTCTAGGTGCTAGGAATGCTTTTTGGTACTGTGTTGGCCATTGTTTCCAGGCCTTTTCAGTGATCAGAGCTAGGAAATATATATGATAGAATACCTGGTGAGTTCCACTATTTCTATTTAAGTTCAGGGCTTTACCTAACTGCTTCTATATGACATATATATCTCCTTTATTCCATATCAAGAATCCTGATTTTCAAGGACACAGGGGAAGATAGAAAATATTCCACAATTACTCATTTGTTTTATCCCACATTATACATACAGCAGTCTATATTTAAATACTGTCACAACAGGTTATGATTATTAAAAACATTTTTAAAACTTTTGCATATACTATTTCCAGTCTCCTCTCACTTTTTAAAAATAATGTACTGTATCTACATTGTCAGATCATTGTAACCATTATATAATATTATCTCTTCCTTTTAACCCTCATTTATTCTTAGTTCTACAAGTAACTATATTTAACTCATCATCACTTCTTTATGTTGATGTTTTCTAGTCACTCTAGCTCATTCTCTAGTATATTTTTTATTTAGGACTCATGAGAACAACATTCTCTGAGTTCTTGCTTGTTGGTAACAGTTGGTGCCCTGTATACTTGAAGGTCGTCAGCTTTGCTGGTTAGACCTTGGTTCACATTTCTTTCCATCGAGCATCTTGAAAAATCTATGACTCCATTTTTTTTGTGGCACAATGTGTCGCTGTCAAAAAGTTTGATGAAAATTAATTAAAATATATAGATAATTTATTTTCCTTTTTAATCACATGCTCATTTTAGTTTTTAGCATTTATTCTAGTTCTAGCTTTGGTTTTCTTCTCCAGAAACTCCATTATCTGTATGTTGTATCTTCTTTACTACCTTCAACATTTGTTACTTTCTCTCAGATTATTTTTATTGTTCTTTATTTTTGTTTTTTCTTAAAAGTCTAGTCTTTTTTTTGTTCTTACATGTCTTGTGTAATAATGTTTTTAAGCTTGTTTTTAAATAGTA